GAGCATAAACATAAAAAACCAATTATATCACCTTAATTGGGATTTAAAGTTAGGATATAATTTTGGGCCACTAGGATTATTGTCTGGAGTAGTACTACAGTAGAAAAAGGCAGAAAAATATTAGAAAAAGGCCAAAAAAGAACAATAGGATTTAAATTTTACGAACTTTCTCTGAAAATATAGAAAAACGGAGTTAATGTCCGCCATAAAAGGACTAAGCCATAACAGATGAGAAGTTAAACGACTCAACTCTAGTATAATTATTCTGATATAGCTGACTCTTTTTGGTACTTAAATATTTCTCAACTGTTATAGTCCGTTTACAGTTATTACTTCTGTTAACATGGTAGTTAAAACAATTATTAGGCAATGCAGGTGCTCAAGATTCGTTTGTAAGGAGTTTTGGAGGGAAACTAACTGTAGGATTTTCAGAAACATATGTTGCCCCACTGCTGTTACGCTCAAGTTGGTTTTGCTCTATAGGGGGTTGAAAACTTCATATGCAAACTCTGTTGAAGATTAGAAAATATGAAAATAACATAAGAAATGTAATAATAATAAGGGATAATTTGAAATAGGTCTAATTTTTTTAACCTATTTTTTGAAACAGGTCCAATTGGAGATTAATATAAACAACTAGAGATAAAGTTAGAAAAACTGACAAACTTGGAGATTGAGGCTTGCATAAATGTAATGTCCTAAAGATAGAATTTCGCCCATACTCGTGTGCTTGTAGTTCAGTAGGTGTCCATCTCTCAAGATTCAAAAATCCATAATCCGAAGTCAAAGCACTTCAATCTTCAAACTCTGACGAACTTTATATATTCCGTACTTTCAAGACATGACTTGGAATTTGACACACGAACCATGAGAGAAACAAAGTGAGAAAACCTTATTTCTCAAGAGTAAAAATTAACTCTAATTTTCTATATTTAATGATAATGGTTTCATGAGTTTAAATAGAACCCAAGTACTTCTTGTTAGGAGATGTAACTTTTCATCTATAAGTATACATTATTTAACAAGGGAATGCACCTAAATAACATAACATTTCTAAGAAATATGGTTAACACTATTTTTTTCATTCAATTATTAAAATTATATATTACAATATTTTATACTATAATATATAATTTCCAACAAACTCATGCAGACTGTTCCGGTTTTTTTTTCCTTGATTGCTCTTTATGACAATAAGCAAAAAGCGCAACAAATCCAACAAAGCCATGAGTATATACTCAGAACGAGAACAAGAAAGAACAAAACGACGATACTCACCAAGGAAAATGATGCTGGTCTTTCTTTCCAACCATAAATGAAATGACTGATGTTGGACAAAGAACTGAGGATGTTTCTCTTCATTTTCGCCAAAACAGATTACGAGAAGCAGATGGGGAATCTGCTGGACATCCTCTCTCGCAATATTTTCCAATGGTCCTTGGGCCTTGAATAAGTTGTGAACCATTGAGCCTGATGAGTACGGTGCCTATGATTACTGAGAAAGTATTTTCCTGTCCACATTTGGTACTCTTATGCTGACATTGACACATCTCCAGCAACAACATTATTTTGGCTAGATGGAGATCTTTCGACACCAGTGCTTGATATGGATTTCAAACTGCACAGGCCCATATATCTTGTCATTTCTATGTCAGCATTTCTCAACGGTTTTATATTCAACAAGCTTTCAACTTCAACTAAATGCTCATAACCCCAAAAAAGTGATTCCAATGATCTGAATAAGTTTGGTAAATTTCTTAATCTTTTCAATGAAGTACAATATTTTGCTTCTAACCTCTTCAACCTTGGTGGGAGCTCTGGAAGAATTTCGAGGTTCGTGCAATTATCTAACAAAAGAGTCTCAAGCATAATAAGACTCTTCATTTTTTGTGGTAGGCACAAAATTGGATTACCAATTAGATTCAAATGCTTCAACGAAGATAGTGTACACAGATTATTGGGAACCTGACATGTTGCAGTAAGACAAACTTAAGCTTCCCAAAAAAGGGCGTACACTTGCCAGAGAGAAACTCGTTGATTGATGAGTCTTTCCTGGCCATGCCCACATCCACCAACACCTGATTGGTGTCCATGGAGAAAATTTTCCACGTGACGGGTACATTTGCTGACCTGGTGTTCCACCTATTAACATCTGACATCTAGGTTGACATCATCTTATAATGACAAATAATATTTATTTTAAGAATAGAATTTAAATTAATTAAATGAAGAACACAGATTCCTCTCTTTTCCATTCTATTACGCCCCACCCGCATCCATTCCACCCTTTTCCATAATCTGTTCATGTTTTTTTTTCTTTCTCAGATAAAACTTGTGAATTTGATTGTTTTTGTTGGGGTTTGATTTGGATTTTTGACTAAGTGGTGGTGAATTTTGATGGGTTTTGATCAAAAACCCAAAATTGCATCAACCCATCACCGAAAATGGCCACCACCCCATCCCCATCACTGAAAATGCCATAAACCCAGTTAGGAGTCTTGGGGCTACCAAGCCTGCCATCATCTCCTGAAAGCGTCCTCGTCGACATCGGAGAAGTTCTCGAAATCGTCGTAATTGTCCGAATCTGAATGGTGCGGGGCGGCGGCGCTGTGGTCGGTGGGGTCCTCGAGGAAGCTGAAATCTTCTTCGTCGTCGTCAATCGGAAGTGAGTCGCCTTGGTGGGATCGGCCGCTGGGAGGGTGACTTTACACCTTCTACAAGTTTTTTCTTTTTCTTTTTTTTTTTTATTAAACAAAACTAATCTATGCAGCTGTAGTAGGATATGTGGCATCATGTAATTGGAGGGGAACTCCAACTCAACAGTTGTACCGGTCATTTGGAAAAATTTCTCGTGTCGATGATATAATTGATAACAGTCTAAGTTTATTCATATCCCTAGATGTAGAGTGTAAATGAATAACCGTGGCACTGTCATGAAGAACAAGCTTTGAGCAACCAGTAAGAATAAATTCCTCAAGAGACCTCAACATGTTCATTCTTTTTGGAAGCTTCATAAGACTTTTGCAGTCTTTTAGATTCAAGAAAATAAGTTTCCCCAAGTTTCCAATGGATTCATCAACATCAATCAAATTAATGCAATCCTTTAGGGAGTCCGGACAAGTCAGATGTTGTCCTAAGGCCATGCGAATGACTAAGATTTAGAATTTTCAATCTTCTAAGAAACTGTGTCAAAGAGAAGTCATTAGTTGCTATGAATACACAGTTTAATTTCACTGAAATTTATTTTTGATTGTGTGTATTTTGAGAGAGAGAGAGAGAGATTAGAACATACCCTGGTTCCCTTCCAAGACTGAACCGTTAATCTCAGTCACTCACATGGCCTTATGACAACCCCCAACTTGTCAGAAGTCCCAAACCATTAGCAATTGATTCTCAAAGATTGCTTCAATTTGGTCGAGGTTCATGACTCCAAGTAACTTTCAATGGGATTGGCTTGCCCGAAGGCATGTCGCTTGAAAAGCTTCAGTGTTTCATATTCACTCAGTTCTTTAATCTCAAATACTGGATAAATATCATGAGCCTTTTATGTCTAGTTGTTACGGTAACTTTACTTCCCGGGTGAAAACACTATCGCATTCCAAGAATTGCATTGAATTGGTCCAAATGGTTCACATCATCAAGAACTATAAGAACTCTATTGCAACCTACAGCATGCTTAATCTTGATCAGTCCTTCATGTTTGCTTATTTTCTTTACTTTCACCCTTTGGATATCGGAAAGAAGATTTATTTGCAAGCCAATATCTGCAAGAAAGCTGTCGTTTCCTTAAAATTTTGCAAGGTTCGTCTTATTAGCAGCTTTGGCAATGGTGGTTTTGCCAATTCCACCCATCCCATAGATAACCGCTGCACCAGCATCACCCGAATCATCTTTTAACCATCTGTTGATTCCGTGCACACAATTATCGATTCCAACAGCATAGGGAGCAACATTTACTGCCACGCGATCCAGCTTACTTCCAACCTCTTGAACAATATCTTGGATAAACTGCCACTCATACCCTACAACATATGGTCATTAGACATCAAATCATATGAAGACTATGTAATTTTTATCTAAAGAAAAGAGTAATTGATGATTGACATGAGTAATGCAGGTAGATTATATATAAGACATTGAAAAATTGACTTGAAAATTTGAATCTTCTAAAAAATATTGCTGCACAGGTACATGAAAGATAGTATAAAGTTATAAACCCAAAATCCGTCAACTCCATATGGCTTTACTATCATCAACCTAATAAACAAGTTTTTTTTTTTTTTTTTTTGTCAACAAACGATATTATCTACCCTAAAAGAAAGAGGGGTGGCCTTAGTCTCCAATAAGCTAACAATAATGTGCCTAATAAACAAGTTATAAAAGGTCATATATAGATAAAAAAAGGTCGTACCCAGTGCACAAGGCTCCCGCTTTACGCAGGGTCTGGGAGAGGTGAATGTCGGCTAGCCTTACCCCATTTATGGAGAGGCTGCTCCCAAGTCTCAAACCTGAGACCTACCGCTCATAGGCGAAGGCACTTGCCATCGCACCAAGTGCGACCTCTAAAAGGTCATATATAGATAATACTTTCAAATTAAAGAAAATGTTTTACGAAATTACCGATCTTCTAGAACCATCCCTCCCAGATTTGCAACATCAGTAAGCGCTCTTCTCCACTTCTCCACCTTGTCCATCTCGTCCTTGAAGCCTAGGTTGCACGGACACTCCCAAACCTCAAAGTGTCAGACACTCTGACATGCTGACACGCCCTGCACACGGTTTGAACACGGTAAACAGTTTCGACACTGTCAAGACTGCCAATGCTTTTTTGTGAATATAAAAGACAAAGTTAGACAGCACACTGATGGCTAGGGAATAAATGGACCCAGACTGACACATAGTTAACGCGCAGAGGTCCCTCGCACCAGCTGTAAGTCGTGCAAAAATTAAGAAAAGCATTCCTTTGCTGGGACTCAAACCTGAGCTGCTCCCAACATTTTAAAAGTTCATGGGCATGCTAAATTTCGCCTTTTTCCAAGTTAAACAGCTTTCTGGTTCACATGTATATCTCAAATGAGTGATCTAGACCACCAAACATACTACAGACACCAAATTGTATTACGTTAAGTGGGATTAAAAGTTAGGATTATTGTCTGAAAGAGTAGTACTGAGTACTACATGCATCAACTACACGAGTTCGTAGAGCTTTCCCCTCCTTTTGTTTAATATATTCATTCAATTAACAAATCAAAGCAATAAACAAAGAGCAACAAATCCAACAAACCCATGAGTTTATATTGAGAAAGATATAACAAGAAATGTTGGAATTCATGCAAGTCATATCTTTTGTTAAAATGCATGCATGAAATAAACATGTTGGATGACTAGTGAAGTTAGGCTAGTCAACCTTCTTTGTGTAAATTAGGCAAGTTAGGCAAGTTAGGAAATTAGGCAAGTTAGGCAAGTTAGGCAAGTTAGGCTTATGTTCTCTTTCTTTTCCTATATAATGTTTCATCTTGTAATTGTTTTGATATGAAATACACATCAAAAATTCAACAAGAAAGAACAAAAAGACGACACTCACCAGGATAATTGATGCTGATCTTTCCTTCCAACCATGAACGAATGATGTTGGAAAAAGTACTAAGGAGGTTTCTCTTCATTTTCTCCAAAATAGGTGAGTAGATGTAGATGGGGAATCTGCTGGACATGCTCTAAGTTTCAAAATATTTTCAATGGTCTTTGGGCCTTGAATCATACAAGCTTCAACATACAAGCTTCAACAAAAGAAAATTCAAAGAACTTAGCGAAGAAGGATTTGGTGTATTTAACACAATACGTTGAAATGAAGGAAAGCTTATTTATTGATATCCCCGATAAGCTACAAATATGTACATATACATGAGTCAAAATAAACACACAAGAGGGAGCCTTCACAAAGGTTGCTTAGGAGAAGTCTCAGCAGTCGGTAGAGAGCCCCAGAAAGAGAAGGCATCAGAGGGGGATCATTTGGAGCCTCAGTACTGGACAGAACCCTAGAAGGAGGAGGCATCAGAGGTTGATCATTTGGAGCTTCATTACGTGGTACAGCCCCAGAAGACGAAGGCAATAAATGCCTTTGGAACAAACCCACAAATCTCTGATGATCAAGTAAAACCTGACCATCAGTTTCCTTCATCTGATCAAGCTTCCTCTTCATGTTTGTAGCATAGTCATGTGCGAGCCGGTGCAACTGTTTATTCTCATGCTTGAGCCCTCTAATCTCCTGTTTGAGACTCATCACTTCAGCCGCCAATGATTCAACTTGGCGGGTTCGAGCAAATAGGCGTTGGGCCATATTAGACACAGAACCTGCACACTGAACACTGAGAGCCAACGAATCCTTAACAGCTAACTCATCAGACCGTTTGGAAAGTAGTCTGTTATCTTTGGGAGTGAGAAGGTTCCTGGCCACCACCGCAGCGGTCATATCATTCTTCATCACGGAATCCCCAACGGTAAGAGGACCAGTTGGGGAGACGAAGGATGGGCGCCATATGTTGTCTGGAGAAGGCGGGGCTGCCTCTTCAACAAGGTTTAAGTCAAAACGACGGTCGGAGGGGCCAGACATTTTCAAAGGTGTTGAAGAGAGAAGAGGTCGGACAAATCAAGATCTTAGAAGTGCAAGAATGAAGCTTCTACTGGTGGAGATTCAAGTGTGCTTTGGAACTTAATGCCAGCCCCTATAAAAATCTGCACTCGACGGAGCTTCAGAAATCGAAGAGGCGTTTGCTTTCTCAAAAGTTGGGCTGCTTAGAGATCACGAGGGTTGATCTCAGAAATCGAAGAGGCGTTTGATTTCTCAAAAGTTGGGCTGCTTAAAGACCACGAAGGCCGATCTCAGAAATCGAAGAGGCGCTCGCTTTCTCAAAAGCTGGGCTCCCCAGAGACCACGAGGGCCGATCTCAGAAATCGAAGAGGCATCTACTTTTCCAGCCTTGTCAGCACCTGTCACACGCACACTCAGCTTTGCGGAAATTATGGGCATTCTGTCAAAGACTTCTGGGGAAGTAGAAAACACATGAATCTTACTGTTCAATCACCCACTTCCCACACGCAACAATAGCTCATGGGTACCACATATAACTTTGCCAAAGTTCTCTGCCAAAGTTGAGCACGTGAAGCTTGCAGCTCCCACTACATCGCTTTGACCAACAAAGGTAAAAGAATAGCAAAGAAACAACACTAACAAAGTTTAGACCCATAAATTTTTTGAAGGTCTAGCTACCATATTATTACCCACAAGGGTAAAGGAACAGTACCACTGCTGGATAATTGGAAAGTCCCTGTGTGTCAACCTCTGTGCTTCGTGGCAAGGTAGACTAGCAAACATGCCCAACCTTTACTCACATTCGAGAAAACACTCCCAATAAGATTGCTTGCTCCAAAATCGAAGAGGCACCGTCCTCCGAATCTAAAGAGCCAGACTCCCAACATGATTACTTTCTTAAAAATCGAAGAGAGGGTAAAGGAACAGTACCATTGCTGGATAATTGGAAAGTCCCTGTGTGTCAACCTCTGTGCTTCGTGGCAAGGTAGACTAGCAAACATGCCCAACCTTTACTCACATTCGAGAAAACACCCCCAACAAGATTGCTTGCTCCAAAATCGAAGAGGCACCGCCTTCCGAATCTCGAGAGCCACTCTCCCAACATGATTACTTTCTCAAAAATCGAAGAGACTGCTCCCCGAATCTCGAGAGCCAGACCCCCAGCATGATTGCTTTCTCAAAAATCGATGAGGCATCGTTCTCCGAATCAATCGAAGAGGCGTTCGCTTTCTCAAAAGCTGGGCTGCTCAGAGACCACGAGGGCCGATCTCAGAAATCGAAGAGGCACCTACTTTTCTAGCCTTGTCAGCACCTGTCACACGCACACTCAGCTTTGCAGAAATTATGGGCATTCTGTCGAAGACTTCTGGTGAAGTAGAAAGCACATGAATCTTACTGTTCAATCACCCACTTCCCACACACAACAATAACTCATGGGTACCACAGATAACTTTGCCAAAGTTCTCTGCCAAAGTTGAGCACGTGAAGCTTGCAGCTCCCACTACATCGCTCTGACCAAGAAAGGTAAAAGAATAGCAAAGAAACAGCACTAACAAAGTTTAGACACATAAATTTTGAAGGTCTAGCTACCATATTATTACCCACAAGGGTAAAGGAACAGTACCACTGCTGGATAATTGGAAAGTCCCTGTGTGTCAACCTCTGTGCTTCGTGGCAAGGTAGACTAGCAAACATGCCCAACCTTTACTCACATTCGAGAAAACACTCCCAACAAGATTGCTTGCTCCAAAATCGAAGAGGCACCGTCCTCCGAATCTCGAGAGCCAGACTCCCAACATAACTACTTTCTCAAAATCGAAGATAGGGTAAAGGAACAGTACCATTGCTGGATAATTGGAAAGTCCCTGTGTGTCAACCTTTGTGCTTCGTGGCAAGGTAGACTAGCAAACATGTCCAACCTTTACTCACATTCGAGACAACACTCCCAACAAGATTGCTTGCTCCAAAATCGAAGAGGCACCGCCCTCCGAATCTCGAGAGCCAGACTCCCAACATGATTACTTCCTCAAAAATCTAAGAGACACTGCTCTCCGAATCTCGAGAGTCAGACCCCCATCATGATTGCTTTCTCAAAACTCGAAGAGGCATCGTTCTCCGAATCTCGAGAGCCAGATACCACAGACCACTTTTTCAAAGTGCTCTGACAGAGTTAAAACATGTGAAACTAGCAGCTCCCACTACCGTGCTATGACCAAGCAGGGTAAAGGAATAGCATTACTACTTGTTGTTAGGGAGACTCCTATATATGTCGACCTCCATCCCCAACGGACAGGCAGACCTGCAAAAATGCTCAACCCTTCATCATATCTGAGAGGGCACTCCCAACGAAGCCTTTCGAAATATTCAGCTTTCTTTCCCCCCGATAATACCTCTGCAAACAAGCTATACTAGAGCAAGAATATCTCATATCATCAGGGTTAAAAGCAAGAGTATCCCATATCATGCTTTTTCCCTGTTTTTTCTTTTGGCCTTGTTTTTACCTGCAAGACAAGGAGAAAGAGAGCAATCAGTCAGCACTTGGAATCAAGCTTCCAGCCAGGAACTGACTGCCTGGAACCCCTTACCTGATTACTTACCTGGCATTGCTCTCGAGTACTCATCTTCAACATCTTATGTTTCCAGGGAAGATTCCGCATCTGCTTGAGGAACAGATAGGGCATCTCCACCAGCTCGGCGACTTGGGGGACTCCTACTACATGGTTTGTATCGCGCTTGACCAAGCCTGAAACTACAAGTAAGCTTCAAGTGAAATTGATACATTACCTTGTGCATCTCCACCAGTTAAAGATACCACCCCTGGATGGAGGAAGAGTACTTCCAGAGAAGATGCCACATCTACCTATGAGACAGATAAGGCAAGTCAAGACGACACCACACTCCGATACTTAGAAGTTTCGTGATTACGAGATCTTTCTCCCACAATATTTCCTAATGTCATTTGTACTAAATCATTCACTTGTACTCACTAAAGGAGAGCTTGAACCTATGTACTTGTGTAAACCTTTCACAATTAATGAGAACTCTTCTATTCCGTGGACGTAGCCAATCTGGGTGAACCACGTACATCTTGTATTTGCTTTCCTATCTCTATCCATTTATATACTTATCCACACTAATGACCGGAGCAATCTAGCGAAGATCACAAAAAGCGATCGTTTTCGCTACCTAGGATTTATCTTGCAAGAGAACGGAGAATTAGATGGAGATCTCAACCATAGAATACGAGCTGGATGGAAAGAGTGCATCCGGCGTGTTGTGTGACCGTCGTAGGCCATTGAAGCTCAAGGGAAAATTTTATAGGACGACAATAAGGCCAGCGATGTTGTATGGCACAGAATGTTGGGTGGTGAAGCATCAACACGTACACAAAATGGGTGTAGCGGAGATGAGGATGCTTCGTGGGATTTGTGGGCACACGAGAAATGATAAGATTGGGAATGAGGATATCCGAGGTAAAGTAGGAGTAGCCGAAATTGTAGGAAAGATGAGAGAAAATCGGCTCCGGTGATTTGGACATGTGCAAAGAAGGCCGACTGACGCTCCGGTTCGAAGATGTGACTACGGGACAGAGGTTCAGGGCCGAAGGGGTAGAGGAAGACCTAGGAAAACTTTGGAAGAGACTCTAAGAAAAGACTTTTAGTACTTGGATCTAACGGAGGACATGACACAAAACCGAGCGCAATGGCGTTCTAGGATTCATATAGCCGACCCCACTTGGTGGGAAAAGGCTTTGTTGTTGTTGTTGTTGTTGTTGTTGTTGTCTTTGGGCCTTGAATAAGTATGAAGCTAATGCTTTGGCTCAAACGAAAATTCAATATGTGCTGGATTCTTCTGTCTCTTTCGGAATTGAGTTTGATGAGTACGGCGCCTATGATTACTGAGAAAGTATGATCCTGTCCACGTTTGGTACTCTGATGCTGACATTGACACATCTCCAGCAACAACATTATTCTGGCTAGAAGGAGGTCTTTTTCCTGCTCGTACACAAGCTGGATTCCGAACTCCTTTATCCAAAAATCATGCATCTCCACCGAAACACGTATTTGGTCCCCATACTCCAATTCATTGTTCCCAATTTGAAAATGGCTTAGCCATAACATATCTTCCTTCTCAGTTGGAAAACCTACTGTGACTGAGGAATAGGTCCACATAAGACCCTTGGTCTGATTACTGACTTTAATTAAATGCTGAGCACTAACAAGATAGTCATCAATTGCCAAGCCCGGTTCTATTGCATATAAAACACATACATTCAAGGCTTGGATTTTGAGATTAGGATGTGAAGATGCAATAGCCGACAGCGCTGATCCATATATTGTTGTGAAGCCAAATCCATCTGGAATCTTGCTTCCAGGAAGGAAAATGCTATATACGCCACATTCATAGACTCCCTGCTTCATCAAGATTGCACAATTCAAATTTAATTATTCAAACAGTTAGACCCAACTAGTTCATAGATATAATAATTAGAACAACTATACATGAGAGAGGAGACAGAGAGAAAGACCTGGACAGGAACCTTCCTAGTTGTACTGGTCAAGTAGTTGATCATTTCAACATCAGTGCTTGTTATGGATTTCAAATTGAACGGGCCCATATATCTTCTCATTTCTATGTCAGTGCTTCTCGACGGTTTTATATTCAACAAGCTTTCAACTTCAACTAATTGCTCGCAACCCCAAAACAGTGATTCTAATGATCCGAACAATGGTAAATTTGTTAATCTTTTCAATGATGTACAATATTTTGCTTCCAACCTCTTCAACCTTGGGGGCAGCTCTGGAAGTATTTCAAGGTTTATGGATTTATCTAACAAAAGAGTCTCGAGCATAATAAGACTCTTCATGTTTGGTGGTAGGCACAAAATTGAGTTACCAATTAGATTCAAATATTTCAAGGAAGATAGTGTACATAAATCATTGGGAACCTCCGACACGTTGCAGTAAGACAGACTTAAGCTTCCCAAACAATGTGGTAAACTTGCTAGTGAGAAACTGGTTGATTGAAGAGTCTTTCTTGGCCATGCCCACATCCACCAAGACCTGATTGGTGTCCATGATATAGTTGACAACAGTCTAAGTTTATTCATGTCCCTTGATGTAGTGTGTATATAAATAACCATGGCACTATCATGAAGCACAAGCTTTGAGCAACCAGTAAGAATAAGTTCCCCAAGAGACCTCATCATGTTCATTCTTTTTGGAAGCTTCATAAGACTTTTGCAGTCTTTTAGATTCAAGAAAACAAGTTTCCCCAAGTTTCCAATGGATTCATCAACATCAACCAAATTAATGCAATCCTTAAGAATTAGTTTCTCAAGGTTAGGGAGTCCGGACAAGTCAGATGTTGTCCAAAGGCCATGTGAATGACTGAGATTAAGAATTTTCAATCTTGTAAGAAACTGTATCAAAGAGAAGTCATTAGTTGCTATGAATACAGAGTCTAATTTCACTAAAATTTATTTTTATTTGTGTGTATTGAGCAATGTTTTAAAAAACTCGCCTCGAGGCGCGCCTAGGGCGCCCTTGAGGCTGGGCGCCATGGCTAACGCCTCAGTTTTGTTGGAGTGGGCGAAAGGCTTCGCCGGAGCCGCCTAGGCACGCCTCAGTGAGTTTTTTTTTTTTTTTTTTTTGTCTTGTCTTTACTCCCAAACCCAAATTTTGGGTAGGATTTTAACTGCCTCATACCTCTTCCTTGCACTTTTGTCTCTATGCCTTTTTTCTGATTTTTATTTTTTATATAATGGATGTGTGTTGTTTGCGTGCATTGTTATATATGTGCTCATTGTGCTTTTCATCCTCTATTTTATGCATATATAATATAATATATGTATATATATGTGTGTATATATATATATTTATAATATATGTGTGTGCTCAGGGTGATTATTGATTAATAATTTTCTTATTTTTAATATAATATATGTGTACGCTCAGTGTATATATTAAAAAATTTAGGTCCCGTGAGGCTTTGCCTCACGCCTAGGCCGGGCTTCCCCTCGGACGCCTCGCCCACGCCTCACGCTTTTAATACACTGGGAGTGAGAGAGAGAGAGAGAGATAGAGAGAGAAAGATAGAGAGAGAGCGAGAGTGAGAGAGATTAGAACATACCCTGTTCCTTTCCAAACACGTTGCAGACTGCTCTTCCGTAAGTCAAGAGCAACTAGATTTTCCAAACAAAAATTGGCTGGTATTGATTTTAAAGACAATCCTCTCCAAGACAACCATATTAATTTTTTTGGAAAATCTTCATAGCTTCCACTTGTGGATGCAAATTTCTTCCTCCTCGATTTTGGACGATTTTGCACCTACAAAATAATTAACACCTTAGGTTAAGGCCAAGAGCCTCACGCGCCCACGATGAATGGGGGGGGGGCTTTGGCCGAAGAACCTCCGATGCCAAAGTTAGAATTTAGAGAGAAAGAGTGTTTAGAGAATTTTGGGATTTTTGCCAAAGTGTTGGACTTGATTTTTTGGTGAGAATAGGTGCCTATTTATAGAGTTAAGAGGTGGCTAGGGTTTTTAGGTTTAATTTAGGTTTAATTAGCCAATTTATTATGATTAATTGGCTAATTTAAACATAAAGGAATGTTTTGATGGTTATGGGTTTAATTGGCTAGCTAATTAGTGTAATTAAAAAGGGAAAATAGTGGAAAAGGTAGAGAATATGATAGGCTCTTTTTGGATGGGAATGGCCGGCCCTTGGTGTGATTTTGGGGTGATTTGGTGATGTAATTAGCCTTTAATATATTGATTATATTAATTGGTTGAGGATGTTATGGAATGTTTGAAATAAATGGCTAATTGAATAAGGAAACAATGAGGTAAAAACATATATGAAATAGGTTTTGAATTGTTACCCATTTTGGGTACTTCTGACTTGGTTGATGGATGATTCTCCACTGCTCGCGTGTAGGAGACCCGGTATGCCTCGAGGGTATTTTTGTCCTTTTTGTCCAAAAACCCACGTGTCGCTTTGTGAATATTTTTGGCTCCACACCACTCAACTTTACATTATCAAGCAGAAGTAGTTCAAGATGGAGCATCTCTGTGAATGCCTTTGTTTTGAAACCTACCTCATTTACCGGAGATGAATCTGATGGGAGAAAGTGGAGCATGAGGCCCTTGATAGTTCTCGTACCCTGCTAACAAATAATAACATTGGATAAGTTACCATGTAGAACACCATTGCAAATATATACACATAAAATTCATGTTTCTTACCGTCACTACAAAAAAACTTGCTAAATACGACGCTAAAAACTCGTCGTGTTAAGTCATGAAAGCGTCGTTTATGCGTTTTAACGACGCTCATGCGACACTTGTGATTGCGTCGCAACAAACCCATGTCGCAAAAGTTTTCACAACTTATTGCGACACATTTCAAGCGCCGCGAAGTTCTTTTACGACAGCTTTGCGACACAATAGTTAGCGTCGCAACGGCTTTGATGGTGGAATTAAACAAAATATTTGGGACATGTTTGACACGTCGTAAATGCTTTTATCCCTACAATTTTTTTTGTTATAAATACAAAATGGTTGGAAATGATATTTGTTCAATGAAAGATTAGGTTGCAATTTATAATCTTATTCACAATCATCCCAAGTTCAAAAGTAAAATAATATATGAATCAAAGAACTATGCTTTTAGAATTCCTAATAACATTGAAAGTACACCATCCGCATATCCCAATACATATAATCCTACTAGAGTCAAATATAAATAATCTCGTCTCAAAAGTTATGAACATAATTTTTTTTTTCAAATATGCTCCAACATATTCAAGAGTTTAATTATGATCAAGACTCTTCATCACAATCTCCATGCAAACCTGAAAAATAAGAATTACACAGCCATCAATAACATGTGTCAATTAAAAGTTTAATCTTTAGTATAATGTTTTCTTTACAAACCTTTTATGAAGCAATTGTTTCTATGGTTCTGGGTCTAACTGAGGTTGTTGCTCATTACTCCCATATGTTTCTTGTAGATGGCTTGATGTATTTGGAGCCTATATTTAACACCAACACGACAAATAGAAATCAAAATTGCTCAAATTTTCACACTAATTTATTCTAATAAATTGAAAAGAGAACAAAATCACATTCGAATGTATATACCTGTCCACTTCCACTTGGTGATGTGTTAACATGGAAACCAATATGAGTCGTCACAAGATGGAGTTTCGAACTGACTTCACTATACTTGGATCGGAGATCTTCAATTTCAGATTCATGCTTAGCCTTAAGATCATCTATCTTAGTCTTGTATTGTCTTTCTACCTCTTCTCGTATGGTGTCCTCATTAACATTGGAAGATCTTGAACTTTGACAAAACACTTGAGATGGAGTTATACCTGTTCTATACATGCGAACACGTCCATATGCATCAGGTCCCATAACTCTAGTAAACACCTCCTCTCGATAATCCTCGTCTTGCTCATGCTCTTCCCTTTCTTCCAAGCATTGATTAAATTGATTCTACAAAACATGACCCAACCAATTCAAATGACCAAAAGATAAAAATAATGCACAACCCAACTAATCAAAACGATGTGAATATGCAAAGTTTTACTTTGAGTGAAAAATATATAACCTAACTGATACTTACAATAATTTGGCCACTTTCCTCATCGAAAAGGTCTCTGTCATCATTCTTTGTTTTCTTTGTTCTTGTTTTTATAAACATGCTCAACTGATCCGTTTTCTCTCCCTTCTCTCTCATCTTAAGAGCACACAATGTTTAATCAAGTTAGTAATGAAAATTGTTAAATGGAGAAAATAAAAACTTTCCAGCATTTCCATCATGCCGTATTCAAATTGGACCTGGTACAAATGATACCATTCCAGTTTTCCAGCATGGTTTATATATATACATCCCCTGCTTGTATTAGTATTAGTCCTATTGTTAATTATTATCACTTATTACTCACTGCAAAACTAGTGTTCTGACCTCATGTTTCAATTGAGCAAATGAAGTACGACCAGTCCGATGAGGAGCACCTCCATGTGCACGATTAGCCTTATTTGCCTCAGAATATTCCTACACATGTTTAAAGCAACCATAATTCATCACTATTATAAACTTAAAATGTAATTTTTCCTAATTTACCTTTATATTAGGGAGGCCCCAATACTTTACTAGTGTCTTCCATTGATCTGTAGTGACTTGAGGAGGAGTGAAGGATAAACGTTGTTCATCGGTCAAGTATGCGTCATACCATCTTTGCTTAACCCGACACTTCCAATCCCTCCATCTATTGCCAATAACCTTTAAGCAATGAAATTTATATGCATCAGGGACATCTGTCATTTAAATCTATCCAACTCTTGTCCATACCTAATGTCATCCGAAAATAATACAAAGAAAGTAAGTAAAATTAATCAAAAATTTATTTAAAAGGTGGATATAAAACATACCGAACTAAGAATTAAGCACCCTTGATCTGATCTCTATAGTTAATCCAAAATATTTGAACTACAAAAGAATGTTAAACACTAAGCAATATGAGATAAGTTGTCAATCCAAACTATTCCAAAAACAGTATTCTACTTTAACACAAAAGAATATGCATTAACGCATGATAATGTGTGAGCTCGGAATAGGCGATACACATACAGAGTTATCTCAACATTCATAATGATAATACTAGTTATTAAAAATATAAATAATAAAGGGAAGCAATTGAGTTTTAAAAGGTGGGCTTATATAATATGAGTTGAATGGGTAATTAGACAAACTCTAGGTCTGCCATCAACTATCACTTAAAAATTAGATAAACTCACTACTAATCCCCATCATTCACCTACCTAACACATGAACTAGCTAGGAATGGGTAATTAACAATCCAAACGGTCATATTCTTGGGTAGCAAATACGAAATACATATCCAATTCTTCATTCAATGTATCCTCTGAACTTTGGGCAACTTTGACTTTTGCATATGATACTCAAAGAAAATATATCCAGAATTTCAAGGAGTGTCACAAATAAGAGATTACTCCAAGGTAAACTTTTAGTCAGCACACAAAAAAACAATCCTACATCATCCACTTTACCTTGTGCGAGGGCCTTCTCCAAGATCTTCCCAATCTATGGAAAAGCAACGCCTGTAAAAGGTACACTCTAATCATTCACCATATTTTTAAGGAAGAAGAAGAAGCCAAATATATTGTTGCAAATGCCAACAAAATTACAAAAAAAAAAAAAAAAAAAAAAATTGGGCAAGATGTCCACGAATTAAAAATAAAGGCACATAGAAAATCAAGAAGCACAATCCCCCTAAAAATCAATTACTATTTGTGCTGTAAACATATTAAGAAAACAGGGTTTGTTTTTAACTAAAATTTTCTGTTTGTGCTGTAAACATATTAAGAAAACCTGCAGCCCAAAACGCAGGCGTTGTCCAGTCCAAACTAATAATTGGAACCGGAAACGGTTGAGGGAGAAAACTAAGGCTGAGGGAGAGAACTAAGCAAGACTTATGGAATCACTTAGCAATCAAAGACGTGGGTTGGGGTTTAACAAGGTACTGAGGAAGATGATCAAACCGATTCTGAGCAGAATGGGTGGAAAAAAGAAAGACATCCCAATCCCGGATGCCAAAGACCCTAGGTTTTGGAAGACATTTAGCAGATATGTGCGCCTTTGACAGAAACCCTATAAATCACTTAGCAAGACTTATGGAATCAAAAAAGAAAGAAGATGGAGATGGTTGTAGTGGCTTACCTGAACTCTGATTGTGCTCCGTAACTCTGATACAACTCCAGAATTTTCGATTGAATCTCTGAGAGAAAAGGAAAAGGAAACAGAAACGGTTGAGGGAGAGCACTAAGGCTGCGTTGGGAAAAAGAAAAAAGGAGTGCGCGCGCTCAAACCCTAAGCGCCAATTTGTTCCCGCTCAAACTCTATCCGTCGTTAGGGGCGTCGCAAACAATCTGTTTAAGACGACATATATTTCTATTTGCGACATTATTAGCGACGTTACTTATAGTGGTGTCGCAAATATTTTCGCGCTAACAAATACCGCGCTAATTTCCTTTTATTTGCGACGATAGTGTAATTTGACGCAAAAAATGTGTCGCAAAAAGGCCTTTTTCTTGTAGTGCGTTAATTTTGTCAAAACGTTAAATGCATCTTTATGCCACAGTCTAGTGCGTTTTCCAGGGTCCTCAGGTGATTCTTCATGAATTATTGCCCTTCCCATGTCTTGAAGTAATTGATGCACGATTAACTTGTTGTGGACATTAATTTCCACAAGGCATCTATCAACCAGATGTTGAAGTCCAACCTCTGTGGCAAAATCACATTCGTCAAGGATTGTAGTTGTAAAATCCTTGTCCTTCCCTACGAAGAAACAGGCTATGTGGAGGAATAAACGTTTATCATGATCTTGTAAAGAATGAAAACTTATGCCAAGAATCTTTTGAATTTTTCCCTCAGTAATCACGTCTAGGTTGTGTAATGCATTTTTCCATACATCTACTGTTTTTCCAAATAGAGAAGATCCCAGAACTTGAAGAGCTAATGGAACCCCTCCACAATGTTCTACTACAGGTCTTGAAAGCTCCATGTAACCTTCTTGAGGATGGGGTTGTCCAAAGGCATGCCAACTGAAAAGCTTAAGTGATTGATGCTCAGGTAATCCTTCAACCTTAAACCTTACACAAACTTCAGCCCTTAACAAATGTTCATGTCTAGTTGTTATGATAATTTTACTTCCAGGATGGAGCCAGTCTCGCATTCCAAGAATCACATTGAACTGTTCCAAGTTCTCAACATCATCGAGAACAATAAGAACTCTTTTGCAACGTACAGCCCGTTTGATCTTTATTATACCTTCATCATGGCTGTATATGTTGTTCACTTTCCTCTTTTGGATATCTGAAAGAAGGTTCCTCTGCAAGTGAACAAAACCATTCGCTTGTTTGGAAGTTTCCCTGATATCTGAAAGAAAGCTGCTAGCTTGAAATTTAGAGAAGTTCTGGTTATAAGCAATTTTAGCAATGGTGGTCTTGCCTATTCCACCCATTCCATGGATGACAGCTACTCCAACATCATTTGATCCATCTTCTAGCCAGGTGTTCAGGCTTTCCACATAATAATCTCTTCCAATTACATAGGGATCAACTCTTAATCTCCTTTTCCACATGTTCATGTAGTCCAGTTTATTTCCAACAGCTTCAACAATATCTTGGATAAACTGCGACTCGTACCTATATGTTATTGATATAAAAATATATCAGACGAAAAGAAAAAACACGAACAAGTTATTTATTTAATTTTTTTTATTTAAAAAGAAAAGCTAAAACTTTCACAAGCTTGAGACTAGCATCTGATCTACTTGACTGAATATAGGGAGGGAATGACAAATTACCGTTCTCCTAAAACCATCCCTCCCAGGTCTGTTACTTCTCTAAGAGCTCGTCTCCACTCCTCCACCTTGTCCATCTTGTCCTTGAAGCGCTCTTCATGTCTGGTAAATGAGTCTGCAAAACTGCCCGTCTGTTTCCTGACATCTGATGGTTCCACGTCATAGAAAACTGGCACAACCTTGTGTCCATCTGTTTTTGTACGTTCCATGATGATAGCAAGTTCATTCAGGCACCACGTGGAAGAGGCGTAGTCCGTGGAGAAAACAATGACTGATACTCGTGACTCTTGTATTGCTGTCTGTAGCTCCTGTTCGATGTTTGCTCCTCCCTCAATTTCATCATCATCTCTAAAAGTGTGGATTCCTGCCAACTCCAAAGCACTGTAGAGGTGATCTGCAAAACCCTTGCGTGTATCTGCACCTCTGAAACTTAAGAATGCATCATATGTGCACCGGTAAGAGGACGAAGAAGCATTCTGCTGCTCGGTGCTCATCGTAGCTATTGAATAGTGTCCATCTGTTGCAGTGCATGCATGAACAAAAGTTATTATATACAAATTGGAATGCAAATTGAGAATATATTCTCCAGCTGCCAAACACATCTGATTTAACACTGAGATGCAAATCATATTACATGTCTAATTTTGGAAGTATGTAAGAAATGATAAACATAATAATAGTGCAAGAGACACCAGTTAATTGTTAACAAGTCACAATGCAAATTCTTATTTGTTGTAAAATGTGAACAGAAAATGCGTTGAAACATTGCCACGAAATTTGGGATTTAAAAAATTGATGCAAAAACTAATGGTAGTTTTAACGAAAAATCCATGGTACTGTTTACTTTAACGAAAAACCACATTTTTACACTAAAAAGTCAAACCTGGTACTATTCATTTTACCCTTTATTTTGTCCTTATTATTAAAACTCAAAGTTTTCAAGTCATTTTCATTAGTTTTCCTAAAACTAATAAGTTGATGTCTTTAGTATTACCCAGAAAAAAAAAAAAAAATAATAATAATTGGTGTTTCTAGTAAGTATGCTAACTTGTATTAAGAATGAAAGTCTGATTGGAGATGGAATTTTTCATATTACTATATAGTCTAAATTGGGGAAGAATTGGCACTAGGGAAATTTCCCTTGGCATTGTTCATAAGCTACAGTGACTTTTGCTGCATTTCACTTTATTTAAGAAACTGCCACTCTTCTGAAAACAATTAAAGTGGCTGGGTTTATGGATTTGGACTGGGAGTGGGCTGTGGCTTAAGTTTGAAGGCGTTGGTACGTAAAAAGCTAATGACAACCCTAAAAGAAATTCATATTAAAACTTTATACAAAAATATATTTTATCAATTTTTAATAAATTAATTATTAAAATAATGACTCATATTTATTTTGAGAAGAAAAAAAGAAAAGGACTGGATCTTTTTTCATGAATGGATTTAGTTCACGTTTCTGAAAAAAAAATAAATTAAAGTCTTGCAAAACAATTTCCAAGAATTTAGAGACTCATATTTATATTCTTTAAATTTATATAACATATTGAGTTAAAAATTAAGAAAAGAACACATGTAAAGTTAAAGCGTTTAATCAAAATTCAAAGAACTGGAATAAAAAACTAAAAACCAACTAATGTGTAATTATAAAATGTAGCACTTGAATCTAGTTATGTCAATAAGGGATGATATGTGGAATTTATTGGATAAGTTCATGATTTTTTTTCATAAACAAAAGAGAATGACCCACTAGTTTAGAGAAAATTTTCAGTGTAACGGCGGTGCTTTAAGTGTGAGTTAGAGACTCAAAACAAATTTCATAGGACAATATTAAAAAGAAAAATAAAGATAAGAAAGCAAGAGGATCCAAAGCCAATGCATTGACTCATCGGCCATGAAGATTTCAATTGAAAGCTAATAATACAAGCAGATGTATGTTTTCACAAGAGGGGAGCTTGGAGGTACCTCGCACACACCAGAGTTGTGTATTGTAAGATGTCGAAAGCTGCGAGTTTTCTTTCAGCCGGCAAGCTGTTGGATGAAAGTCCCAACTAGTTTCTTCAAAAAGACACTTGAAATGGACGATTTCACAAATCGAATTTTGCTAACTCGCAAACTCAAGTGGATAACTATAGTTCCTCTTCACCATGTTCAAACTTCCAAGGATCTGAATGGGCGTCGGTCTTAAGAGTTGATGAAGAAGAGGATGTGGGAGATGATCATGCTACCAGAGAAGCTCAAGAAGGACTAGTCTTTTGTTTTTTTTTTTTTTTTTTTTCTTTTTTTTGGGGTAAATGAGGGTGGGGAAGCCCAAACAAACCAACATTTACATGAGATATTTACCAATAAAAGTCAGCAGACAAATTATACATGGCTTTTCCAAAAAGTACTCAAGGTACGTGTATAATTCGCGTTTCCCACGAAAATTGAGTAATCATTTTTTGTAGTCATAAAAGAGTCACTATAGAGTGACTATAATGCAAAATCTAAAGATTCAATTATAAATTTCTCCACTTATAAAAAAGAAGGTCTTAGATTCGATTTTCGTTCGGTGTGAAATTATAGCGTGTGACTTAGCTCAAATTCTACTCTTGCAAATCATTTAAAAAAATTTAAAAAAAAAAAGACAAATCAGTTATTATAATAATTAAATTAACAGATAATTCAGTTATTAATTTTCTATGGCCTTTCTTCCTTAAAGAGACAAATCAATTATTAATTTTCAATGGACTTGTAACTCAAAGTTGATAAAAGCCTGCAGAGGCCCCCTCTCCCGACACCAGTTGTTTAAAAAAGAAATGATTCAGTTCAGATTTGAACACAGGCAAATTCAAACTGCACGAAACAAAGAAAGATTGAAAAATCCTCTTCATTAATAAGAATTAACAAAATTGTCGTGTTGGGGCAACAATTATAGAGATCTGTAAAAAAGAAAAAGAAAAAGAAAAAGAGAGAAAAAGGAAAAGAAAAAGGAGAAAAAGTGGCGGTATGTTTGAGGCCCACGAATTTGGTTGAGGAAAGGGCAAAAAGAAATGGGCTGTTTGATTTTGTTTGAAGTCTTTGAGGCCCACACGAGTTGTTGGCCTGTATGGGAATTTTGCGACTGTTTTGGACTTGTGACCACTTAAGTGATAGTATTCTTTTTGTCCGTCCATTGCTGTAATTGGGATATGAAAATCTCGTTCGTTTAATGATGGGGAGCACTCATATGCTTTCTTTCCATACCCTCATGCATGTCTGAAACATAATCAGTTTGCTAATTCGCAAGTCAAGTCAAGTCCAGCGTAGCCAAGCTTGCTTGCTTGCCTGCTTGTCCACCTAGCGAAGCCTGCATCGACATTTTCTTGTTGGCAAACTCATGTCGTGTACCACCATGAGTTTGACCGGGGTGTTGAAAAATTAGTTATTTAATTATTTGGGTTTGCTTGTTAATTTAAGATTTGGGCTTAGCTCATTCAAATTAGGGTTTCTTAGGTTTTGTTCTCTATACATATAGCTTGTAATTTAGTATGATAATAAGTTGATTAAAATGTAGTCTTTAAGTGTAGTCGTCTTGTCAATCCTATTTCTTTGTTTTTTCATTAATCAAATAATATTCGTAATTTATAATCTGTTTGTTCGTATGTTTGTTATGTGTACCCTGATATTCTACTATGGATAGATACAAATTTCAAAATTTAAACTCATTTAACAATGATAAATAGAGTGGTGATGAGCAAAATTGCCCAAACTTAACCCTAGTGTATGTTACCAACACAACTTCAGCTTGACACGTGTCCTCTCACATAACTCTAATTAACTTTTATCATTATTAATATTTTTATGTCATAGCAATTCCAAAATCTAACCGTCCCATTGTCTCTCGCTCTTCCTTACTCCTCCCCCCTCTTTCTCTCTCCAGTCTCCTCTCTGTTATTTGAAAAATATTGCTAATCCAAGATCCCAAATCATCTAAATTGGGGTGGATGCACAGATGTGAAGGGGTGAATGAATAGATGAGAAGCGACCCCAACCCACCTCACCCAACCCAAATTATCTAACGTTTGGACAAATCTCACACTGGGGTAAGGAAATTGACGAGGGTTGGGTTTCTATTTATTTTTTTTATTATTTAATTTTAGTGTTTTAATTTACTTTTTTATGTTTTGAACAGACGATATTATCTATATTAAGAAGTGAGAAGACGGCTAAGTGACGAAAATCGAATATAAGACATATTTCACTTATAAGTAAAGATGAATATTACTATACCCTAGTATTAAGTAGCTTTTAATTTATTTTTAAGAAAAAAAAAAGAATTTAACCAGAAAGTAGCTACGGTTATGTGATAAAGAAAGATTGGAGCAAAAACATAAGAAAAAAAAAAATAAAGAAAGATTGGAGCAAAAACAAAAAATTAAGAAGAAATGGGAAAATAAACAACGGGAAGATTTGCCCGTCTTATTGTAAACTGTTGGATTAAACTCCTTTATTCGCTGACAACAGTGTTAATCCGCTGAAAGAGCTCAAATATGAACCAATATGGTTTTGCGAGTTATATATTAGTTAAAGTGTAAATAGTAGTTTATTGTCTCATTGGTGAAGTACATATGTAATACTAATTGTAACTTCTATATATACTCCACTTTGGAGATGAATGAATATAGAAGAAATTCCCAATATTGTCATGTATATTTTTGGTATTTACCGTGTTTAGTTTTAATATGGCATCATAGCAGTTCGCTCTTGATGACCTGTGTGCTTTAATTTTGTGTCCACTTTTTTCGCGATTTCCTTCGTTGAAAAAAAAAATTGAATAGTGTCGCGTTATAGTACAACGCTTTGCTACATTGCGTGAACAGTGATCCTCTACAGTGTCGTAAACAGTGATCCTCTACAGTCGTGAATAGTATCTACTACATTGCAGTGAACAGTGATTGCTACAGTGTTCTGGTAAATTATTTTTATTCCGCTGCGTATTTTTTGTGCCTTTATTGTTCGTGATTTAGTTCAATGACTCAATATAATCATAGTGTTGTTATGCATCTTGGTGGAACAAATAAATGGATAATTGATACTGGGGCCACTGATCATGTGACTAGTGACCCTAGAGTGTTTGATGAGTTATGTGACTATGTTCGTAATCCGTATATTACTAGTGCAAATGGAGCACCTTCCCCTGTGAAGGGTGAAGACACTATCTCTCTGACTTTGACCTGATCACTGGTCCGTGCTTTACTTGTTCCTGATGTTAAGTGCAATCTTTTGTCGGTAGGAAAACTTCTTGATACCTTATATTGTTCTACTCATTTCTACCCTACGTATTGTTATTTTCAAGACATTCAAACTCAGAAGATAATTGGTTATGGTAAAAGAATAAGGGGTTTGTACATCTTGACTATGGAGGATACTATTATTTCCGGTTCAAATAATTATCAAGTTTTAAGTGCTAAAATGGATGACAGACATCAAATTTGGTTGTGGCATCAACGATTGAGACATCTATCATTCAGTTATATGAAGCATCTATTTCCTCCTTTGTTTCGCACTTGTAGTGATTCAAAGTTCAAGTGTGAAACCATGTGTCATGGCTAAAAGTCATCGTGCTTCCTTTCCCGTAAGTGATTCTGAAGCTACTTTGCCATTTGATTTGATACATTCTGATGTGTGGGGTCCTGCGAAATTTACTTCTAATGGATTCCGTTGGTTTGTTACTTTTATTGATGATTGTACTCGGTTAACTTGAGTGTTTTTTATGAAGAATAAGAGTGATGTTCCGTTACTTCTTCAAGAATTTTGTACAATGGTGTCTACTCAGTTTCAAACCAAAATTAAGGTCTTCAGGTCTGATAACGGAGAAGAATATGTGAATCACACTTTGGCATGCTTTTTTCGTGATCATGGTATTATTCACCAGACGACTACTCTGTTTACACCCTAACAAAATGGTGTGTCCGAACGGAAGAATCGTCAAATAATGGAGGTTGCTCACTCCTTGATGTTGGATAAATGTGTTCCCAATCATTTGTGGGGTCATGCTGTTTTGGCTGCTGTGTATTTGATCAATCTATTCTAAGTAGGGTTCTTGATTTTCAGACACCGCTTGATGTGCTACAAAAACATGTTTCTCTTGTTTATGTATCAAAGCTTCCTCCAAAAGTGTTTGGGTGTATTGCGTATGTGCATGTCTACTCTCATCAACAGAGTAAACTTGATGCATGTGCTCTCCGATGTGTCTTTATTGAGTATGCTAACAATAAAAAAGACTATAAGTTTTATCATCCTCCGAATCAAAAAACTTATATTACCATGGATGTTACATTCCACAAGGAAGTTTTGTATTTTGTGAAGCCTTCTTCTAACTCTCCACTTCAGGGGGAAAAAGGGAGTGAAGTGCAAATTCGAAGAGATGATATGGATGATGTGTTACAGGCAGAGTTGGAAACAGAACCTATTATGTTGCGTGATACTGATCAGTCGGCTACAGATAGTGATTAGTCACCTGTCATTCCCGGAACTATTTCTACTGACGACAGATTAGATGTGCCCAGCAAGTTGCCTGTTAGTATGTCTGATGAATTACCTTCTGATGATCAATTGCTTGCTGCTGGTATGTCTAACGAGTTGCCTGATGATGGTTCGTCTAGTGATGATTCTTCTAACAGTTTGGTACAAGATGGTGGCATACATGAGGTAAATTCTGACGATTCTTCTACTTATCAGTTGCCTCCACGAGCTAATCGTGGAAAACCTAAAGTACAATATGAGCCTGATATGCATGCCAAAGCCAAATATCCTATCAACAATTATGTGTCTACTCATCGTTTGTCCAAACCATATGCATTTTACATATGTCAGCTATCTAGTGTATCAATTCCAACAAAATTGCAAGATGCTTTGTCTGACCCTAAGTGGGTTAATGCCATGAAAGTTGAGATGGAAGCTTGGGAAAAGAATTCTACTTGGGATTTGGTTCCTTTACCAAACGGGAAGAAACTCGTTGGATGTATATGAGTGTTTACTATTAAGCACAAAGCATATGGTTCTATTGACCGGTATAAAGCCAGATTAGTTGCTAAGGGTTATACTCAAACCTATGGGGTGGACTATTGGGAGACTTTTGCTCATGTTGCCA